ATTTGAGGATGCTTGTGCCTTTTTCCACAGATGTGCAAACTCCGTGGCCTTTGCTTCAGTGCTGAGAATGAGCCCGTGTGTCATATGGTGGACAACTGGCGCCCGTGTCAGCCTTTGAAGAGCAGAGAAGTCAGAGCTTCCTTCCAGTAACCTCAGCGCTGAGTGTGTTAGAAATTGCTGTGTTTGTGAGGAGCCCTTTTCGCTAAGCACAAATCAAACCTTTGCCGTGTGTGCCCTGGCAACATCTTGTCTCCCAGATCCATTCTTTCTTTCGCTCTGCGTCTAAAAAGCCAGCTAATGAAATGTGAAAGGCTCTTGGCCAAATAGGAAAGGGGTCTTAAGGTGTGGGGTTGGGGGGAGGCATCGGGGGTGGTGGCTGTGTGCATTTTGGTGACTATTACTGCGACTGACACTTTGGTATAACAAACAGTATGTTGGCTATTTGGGAGAGGATATGGTGGTAGTGAAATAAGCCATTTTAAGAAACCTCATCCACAGGTGTGATAGTACACGTACCTAGCGATAACTTGAAGCTTTGTGAAAAGCACAGGAATACAGAAGCTAGATATGATTTAGGAAAAAAAAAAAGTATTTTCAGAAAGTAAAGCAAAATGAATATTGAGAATTAGACTACTTAGATTTTAAGAAACTGACATGTAAATATTTTTGAGACCATTTTACACTTTTACCCATGCTATCAACAACCTTGATTATGTCTTAATGGTAGTGTTGGATTTTTTTAATTAAAAATGTCCTAAATTAAGTATTATCTTTAAAAGTTGTTATTACCATAGAAATAATACAAAATATCTTTTCATTGAAATAATATATGCTCTAATTTAAAGAGGAAAATAATATTGTATTTTAGATAACTTCTCTAATAAATCTATACTTATATTTTTGCTTCCATGCTGTTATTTTAATTCAGGAAAGGAGTCACTAATCTGTTTGTGCTGTTGCTTATTAAACATAATTACTAAACATATAGTATATTGGGAATTGGTTTCAATGACACTGAAGATGAATACAAACCTATATGGATATGTTAGGAAATTTACTCTAAGTAGCTCTCTGATAGCAGAAGGAAGTGTTAGTTTTGAGCAATCACTACAAATTATCATCAAAGTTGACTGCCTAATTAAAGATCCCCTCACAAGAATTGTGAACAAAATCGTACTGAAGAATGGGCTTCTCTAAACCTGTTGCTTAAACTTTGCCCTTATGTGTCAGCCCAAAAGCAGGGTGCCTCATCTTTATGCAGAACATCTCTTCAATCCATTTCTGCAACTAGACCAAATCCTTCAAGGCTGTCCAGCCAGCATTTGTTTTTTAGCCTGACAGCATCATGTCATATGAATGATTTCAACAGAAGCTTTTTTTTTTTTTTTCAACAGAAATATTGCTCAGCAGACAATGGCTTCCAGTAACTTCCATTGCTGGATCCTTACTAGCTGATTTCTTGTGTTTTCATCAACACATAAGCAATAGATATGTAAATATAAATCTGTTCTAAATACACAGGATCCAAATACTACAAGGGCCTACCCTCCTTCTCAGGCTCCTGGCTGTTGTGAAATCTCTCATCGCATTGGATTCTGGTCCTAGTTTTCAAGGCAATTTATTATGAGCTTTCTACCCCATCAGGGATCACTTTGTAATTTATAAGATACTAGTTGGGCAGGCTAGGTTCTGCAACTTCCAGGATCTTTACATGTGTGAGATGGGAATGAAGCCTTTTCAGAGTGCATACAAACATCTTTAGAAAATGCTGTCAAATCTCCCACTTTGAAAAACTTCCCCATTTAAAACACCCTCCACCCCTCCCACCAAAAAAAAAAAACCAAACCAAAACAAAACCAGAACAGAAAAACAAAGGGATCCTTTACTGCAGGTCATCTGTTCTAAGTTAAGCTTTTCTGAATGGAGCTATGAAGGTACTTGTCTCTTCCTAGGACAACTAATTCAGGTTCTTCCTGTTGAGTGGTTTGAACACTTTCCTGACTTGAAGTGTCACCCACAGGCCTGAGTGCAACACATGCAAGGGAGGTTACACCCCTAAAATGAGAAGTCTAGATCTGATATATTGTGGCTTAAAGCTGTTCAAGCAGGCCAAGAGGAAACACCTTACAGAATCACAGGATGGCTGAGGTTGGAAGGGATCTCTGGAGCTTATCTGGTCCAACCCTTCTGCTCAAGCAGGTTATGCAGGAGCATCATTTGAGTATCTCCGAGGATGGAGACCTACAGGCTTATGACCCACTTATTTCAGTAGGTAGCATCTTTTTGCTGAAGCAAAGTGCTTGTTAGCAATCGCAAACATTAAACTCTTTCCTGGAATTGTGCTTGTATGCCAGAACGTGGTCTCAAAGGTAGCAACCCTACTCTTTACATAATTATTACATGTTATGGCATTAAAATTAAAAACTAAAATTAAACAATAAAATGTGACAGCCCCAGATTTTCAAATTTTAAGCCCATATCTTGACAACTATGATACCCTGACTGCTAGGTAATAAGACTTTCTGAGAAGCGGTAATCTCATTGGTACCTGTACAGCTTAAATAGTATCCAGGCTGGTATGTGACAAAGAACATGAACTTCTGTCTAACAGCTAGGGTAAAAACTTGAAAATGCTTGTGAAGTCCTAACCACTGCTGCAATAAAAAGTTCCGTATCTCATACTCCAACTCACTTCAAGGTTGCTCCATAAATAATAAGTAACAGTGAAGACAACCAACATGAGCCATATATTTATCATCTTGTTTGCAGGCGCCTGTTTACCTGGAATGTTGCCAGTGCCATATGTTTGCCTTTGCTGAATATGAAGTACTTCTGTATTCAGACAGACAATGCAAGTTGGTGTTTCTAAGTCATATACATGGTATACAGGAAGACCCTACTGTGTGTTTCACCTGTATGGTCTACCAGGGAACACTGTTCTTCGTTTTTCTTTTTTTTTTTTTTTCTTTCTTTTTAAGTTAACAAACTTAAAGAATCACCCTTCAAAATCCTCACAAAAAACCCTCTCCAGCATAAAATGGTACATGAGCTTATCACAAATTCACACTTTGTGGTTAGGCTCTTGTTCAACTAATGGATCGCCTTTTTAAGAAAGACATATATTAAGCCACCCAGAAATGAAGAAAACAATTTCTCTGGCCTTCATGATCCATCTCCTGAATGGTGAGTTCCATTAAGATAAAGGTGAATACAAGTATCTAGTTCTTCGCCCTGACCTCTATTTTCCTTCACTATTTGCTTGTATGAAGAGGTTTTAACTAGGTCTTGCAGTTATTCAACAGCAAACTTAAAACAACATCCATTCTAACATCACACTCAGACCTGTTTCAAGTGGAAAACTGTTTATGAATTCATAATGAAAAAAAAGAGACCACTTTGGTCATGGAACAGAAGACGATCCCACTGTGGGTAACTATGTTACTGTCAAGTAGGCAGCTCTGATTAAAGGGAAATCTATTTAGAAGAAAAAAAAAGAAAAGAAAAAAGGCTAGTGTGTTAATTTGCAGTCATTGTAAGACATTCAGCCAGCACTTTGATGGAGGAAAGAGAAGCATGTTCACTTGCAAACTGTTCATTTTGCACAGTTTGTGATCTTGTCTCGCACTTGTCTGCCAACTCCATGTGTTAGAACATTTTATGATTTCCCCACTGCTATTTCTAAGGGTTGGATGTGTCCTAGATTGACATGGGCGGGTAGACTGTGATTAGAGATGTTCCCTGGGAGATTAGATAATAATGCCCTGCATGGAGTCAGCAATATTTATAGAAGTCCATATAGTTTATAGAAGAGTATCACTCACTAAATGACAGCTTTAGGATTTTCTAACTCTTCAAAGAAAAGCCCTGCAAGCAACAGCTGTGTCAAATCTAATATCATAGAAACAAGCAGTGATGAAAGTACAGGCAGTGGCTTTACTGAAAAGTTCCCATGGACCCTCTAACATCAGCCACTTCCTCTTCCAAACCACAGCATCTCATACAGTCACGTAGCACCTGGTGACAGTTGCTTATATTGAGTGTTTGATGTATTTTGACTCTATATGGTAACTGGACATTCCACTGCTGTCCCCCTTCCTCTTTCAGTATGATGGTAAAGGGCTGTGCTGCCTCAATGCCATTGATGGTTCACTCAGGCTATGAGACTCCCCAGCCACCAACTTCCTAAAAGTGCAACGGGCACATGTGTGAAGCCATCATGGCTCCAAAGCAAACCATGAGAGGTACGATGACAAAACTTTTCAGGGATCCCTGACTAATTTTAGACCACAAGTCTCACTAGTTTTTTATGTAAGCCACAAACCAAAGCTATTTTTGGTACGTCCCCATCCCAGCATGGGTTACAGTGTAGTGATTCCCCAAGCTCTCATGTTCACCCAACATCAAGCTCTTCAGGATGCTCACTTTAGTTCAGAACTCAAAGCAATGTAGCTATGTTGCCTGAGCTGATGGACCCATCTCATCAGGGCATGGTGCTAACATGGTACAGCTGTGTTGCTCCTAACCCCAGACTAAAGTCAGTTTTGTCCAGTGAGGACGTCAATGCACTGCAGCATATTAAACAGTAAAAAGATATCCTCAGGACATTTTGAAAAAGGCAATATATAAGCCCTGCTTTTATCATCTTGTATCATATATATGTATGACAAGGCAGTCACTACTTCTTTGAACTCATGCCCTGAAACAGAGAAGAAATGCACTGAGACAATATGCAAGACACATGTGATTAGAGCAGACAGGTGGATATTAACTACGTATTTTCTTGAGGGGTAGGTTTTAATAAGCCTTTTAACATCACTCAGTATTCAAGGACCTGGAAAATTTGCCGCAAAGTACTAGAATAGAATAGGTTATTTCAGTTGGAAGAGACCTACAATGATCAGCTAGTGCGGCTGCCTGACCACTTCAGGGCTGACCAAAAGCTAAGGCATGTTATTAAAGGCATTTTCCAAACGCATCTTAAACACTGACAGGCTTAGGGCATCGGCCACCTCTCTAGGAATCCTGTTCCAGTATCTGACCACCATTTCAGTAAAGAAATGTTTCCTAATGTCCTCTGGGGCAGCTTTGAACCATCCCCATGCATCCTATCTCTGGATACCAGGGAGAAAAGCTCAGCACCTCCCTCTTCATTTCCCTCCTCAGGAAGCTGTAGAGAGCAATGAGGTCACCCCTCAGCCTCCTTTACTCCAAACTAGACAAACCCCAAATCCTCAGCCACTCCTCATAGGACATTCCTTCCAGCCCTTTCTCCAGCTTTGTTTCCCTCTCTGTCTGGAAAGCCCCAAGATCAAACAGGGAAAAAGAGTTTGTGTGGCACTTGGGTGCCTTGCACCATGGATAACACAGACAGAAATCTTTCTCTGTCTGCAGTGCCACAAAAAGGGTGTCTCTGAGAGGCACAAAAGACACACCAAGGCTGACAGGTTTCACAGAAAGCAGAGCTAGGCTCTCTCTTCTGGATGCTGATCTCCTAGCCCGAAGGCCAGGTCCAAATTTTCAGCTCACTCTAATAAGGTAGGAGGACTCTATCTATCTGCAGCATTCATCAGTGTAAGAAGTGGAATCCGTGACTAGTACGGATCCTCTTTGCTGATCATGTGCCACCCCATATTTAGAGGAAAAAGCAGGCTAGTGTGAGGATTCATGGGACCTTCTCTCCCACTTTGCTCCACAGCCTTCTCCAGTGCACCTAAGCAGGGAAGGACAGTGGAAGCAGAGTGCCCTTTCCAAAAAAAAAAAAAAAGAGGAAGGATAGCCAATTATCCTGTTTTTCCAAAACTGTTTAGCAGCAGAATACTACTTTTGAGTTACTCAAAGGTCAGGGAAGAAGTTCCTCTTTCCTCAGCCTAAATTCCTCTTCAGCTGGCTGACTT